TTGAAAATATGCAGACGAGAAGAAAGCAGATTTATGGCACGGACAACTATAAATCTTACTAGGTCACACGTCTTCTTCTTCTTCTTAGCATTCACCAACTACAATCTCTGGAAAATATTCAGGTTGTTCATCCACTTCTTGCTTCTAGCCCTCTTTTAGAACTTGAGATCTGTGTGCACATCTCTTAACTGTTTTTTTTGCCTCTCAGACAGATGTACTCCAACTTCAAAGTAAACAACCTGATCAGTCGTCTTTTGTGGCATACTTGTTAAAGGTCTACAGTTTTGCTGCCTGTGCTACTAAGTTTAGTGCTTGGTGCAGCAATGTGTGCTGTGTTTTTCCTGTGGAATGCATTTCATTTGTGCAGCGGCTGTGTAATGGTATTCAATATGGCCAGTAGCTGGTTTACGTGTGAGCTGGTGAAATAAGTTATGTGGTGGTTCTACATGTGTATAGCCAACTTAAATTATACAGACTATTGATGAACAGTGGGATATGTTGCGTGAGTCAATTCAGCAGACATCAAAAGAGACAATCCCACCAACCCATAGAGTTGCAAAAAAGAAATGGATGTCAACCGAAATTCTGCAGTTGATGGATGAAAGAAGGAAGAAAAAGAATGATAAAGAAGAATACTCTAGAATACAAAAAGAAATAGTGAACAAATGCAAAGAGGCTAAAGAAGCCTGGCTGAATCAAATGTGTACAGAGATTGGGGAAAATCACAGGAAAGACTCACATTTCATGTACCAACAGATAAATATGTTAACATGAAAGATGACACGTAACAGCACTGGATGTTTGAAATCAAAAGATGGTGACTTAATAATGGGATATAGTAATATAATTAACAGATGGACAGAGTATATAGGGGAATTGTATGATGATAATAGACCAGATGTAGAACTGCAGACCAACAATGATGGTCCACCAATAATGACTGCAGAAGTTAAGGATGTAATACATCATATGAAGAAAGAAAAAGCACCCGGGCCAGACAACATCTCACTGGAAGAAATCGAAGCACTGGGAGATTTTGGAATTGAAATAATAACTAAACTTTAAAATTATATTTATAATAGTGGGTATATTCCAAATGACCTTTTAAAATCCATATTTACAGCTCTGCCAAAGAAACCAGGCACTTTAAAATGTGAAGACCATCGCACAATAAGTCTTATGAGTCACATGACTAAGATTTTACTGAGAATAATTATGAGAAGAATAAGAAACAAAATTAAACCAGAAATCAGCGATGAACAATGTGGATTTGTAGAAGGAAAAGGTACAAACAATGCCATTTACATCCTAAGGACATTGTCAGAAAGAGCTATAGAAGTAAAGACTGATTTGTACTTATGCTTCATAGACTATACAAAAGCATTTGACTGTGTGAAGCATGAAGAAGTAATCAAACTGTTAGAAAAATTAAACATTGATGGGAAAGATCTACGAATAATAAAGAATATGTATTGACAGCAAACAGCAGCTATAACATTTAACAACTGTTTAGGTACATTTCAAAGCATAAAGAGGGGCGTACGACAAGGATGTGTACTGTCACCTGATTTGTTTTCAATATACAGTGAATATATAATGAGATCTTTAATTGATATGCCCGGAATTGTGGTTGGTGGGCACAATATAAACAATTTACGTTATGCTGATGACACAGTCTTGATAGCAACAAGTCAGAAAGAATTACAGGAAATGATAGACACTGTGGTGTTAAAAAGTGGAAGAATGGGGGTCAGTTTGAATAATGGGAAGACAGAAGTAATGGTGGTATCAAAGAAACAAATTATTCCTAAATGTGTAATAAAAGTCACTGGTGTTATTTTAGGACAAGTACAGAAATTTAAGTATCTGGGCACATGGATAACATCAGATGGAAGATGCATAACTGAAATAAGAAACAGAATTGGACAGGCAAAAACTGCATTTTATAAAATGAAAAACATCTTGTGCAATATATCCTTGTCATTGAAAGTTAGAAAAAGAATTCTTGCTTGCTACATACATCCAGTTTTAACATATGGATGTGAATCCTGGACAATCGGTAGGCAGGCCAAACAATTTTTAGAGGCCTCAGAGATGTGGTTTTACAGAAGAATGCTTAGAATACATTGGACAGCCAAAAAGAGCAACCAAGAGATTTTGAAAGAGGCGGGAGCCTGAAGACAACTTATCACAGACATCAGAAGGAGACAGTCATCATTTTTCAGCCATGTTATGAGAAGAGGGAAAATATAACATGTTGTGACCACTGGAAAGATCTGTGGAAAAAGGGATAGAGGAAGACAACGAGAGAAGATGCTTGACAGTCTTGTTGCATGGCATGGAGGTGTGTCGGCACCCGAACTGATACATGCTGCAGGAGATCGCAGATTATGGAGAGGCACGATCGCCTACGCCAGTCGGCAAGGCACCTGATGATGATGATAGCCAACTTATCGTGCCCGTGTGTATGTATATGTGTGTATGTATGTTTACATGTGAGTGTAAATGTGTGGTTGTGGGTGTCTGTACATGTGATTGTATGTGTGTGTATGCATGCATGCATGTGTAGGTGTGTATGTATGGAATGTGTGTGTGCATATATGTCCATATATGTATGTGTGTGTCTTTTCTGTTTGTGTATATATGTAGATGTATATATGCATGTGTTAGGTATGTCTGTATATGAGTGTGCATGTATGAGAATGTGAGAGCATATATATATATATATATATAATATATATATATATATATATATATAATATATATATATATAGATATATATATATATATATATATATATATATATATATTTGTGTGTGTGTGTGAGTGTGTAAGATTGTGTACACATGATGTATGTATTATATTCTATAATGTATATTTTTATTCTATATCTATAACATGCATTTTAGATAACAGGCATTGGTACTCTGAAAAACGAGTGCTTAGAAGGGACGAATGTCAGACTGGCCTGCGTGCCCAATTTGTAACCCTTTGAAAATAAAGTTTGTTCGTTCGTTCGTTCGACTACTTCTGTCAAGAAAAAACTAAATTTCTGGTGGCAACTGTTGGCGTTGGTGGGGCTAGCAACTGAAATTTACATTTACTGTGTGTTTCTGGATTGTGCTGGGACTAACTGACCAACCTTTTGTTCACAAATTTGTCAAATGCGACAGTGAGGGACATTTCCTTTGATGTGCACTGGCATAGGAATGGAGAGAGTAAGGGGAAACCTGACTGTAGTGAAGTTGAAATCTCGACTAAGACTAAAAGACAGGGGGTCTATTCACCCCAAACAGAGCCCTGAAATCCACAAGGGGAAGATCACATCTCAAAACCCCAAAGATACATACGGTATGTAACAGAACAGGTGACACAAAGAAACTGGCCACATGTGGTGAATACTTGAGAAAGGGAAAAAAGGTAGACAAAGACGCAAGTAGTAATCTTAAACAGAAGGTCAACAAAATATGTCAGTTACGCCAATTTAATCAAAATATAAAACTAACAGAGGTTTCACTCTTTCACTGCCAAACAACTCACCAAATGCGTCTTGGTATTTCCACAAATAATGCATTGTTCTTACTGTCTGTTTTTTAGACAGTGAATATAATAACCACTTGTATCTTAATAGTTTAAATACTTCTACCATATAGTGCCTCCATTAAACTCCTTCGGACCTAAGTATTTATTGATTTTAAGCTCAACTCCTTCAGAGGTAGATATTTAATGATTTTAAGCTTGCATCCCTTCAGACATAAGTATTTATGAATTTTAAGCTCAACCTCCTAAGACTTTAGTATTTATTTAATTTAAGCTCAACCCCTTAAGACTAAAAATATTTATTGACTTTAGCTCAACTCCTTGGGATATAAGGAGTTTAAGTAACATCTGATTAGCACTGAAACGGTTAAGAACCATGATCACCATATATTTTCCAGAGAATGCAAACGATGCAGATTATGTTTTAACTTCCAGACACCATAAATCAGGGGTTCCAAATATTTTGACTTGTGGAGCCCTTTTCAAAATTTCTATCTACTTCTTGCTTCTTTTTTTTTTCAATATTTGCTTGTGCCTCTAGGCGTCGCAGTTTATCCAATAGGGCTTTGGCTTTGTGCAGAGTTTTGCATGTACATCCAATTTACTGGCTTTTTTGGTGTGTGCGCACCTGGTTGTTCCTTGCCACTCTGGTGGATGCACTTATGACTTCCAAGGAAGCACCTAGTTATCTTACGACATGCTTTTTTAAAAATTTGGTAGGCAGTGGGTCTATTCTTGTTTTCTCCACAATGGGGCCCTGAAACCCACACTAGTTTTTTTTTTAATCAACTTCCACAAATACACATAATACTATCAAAACTGTTCCCTATTTTTCTGCAGCAGCAGAGGCCCTGGAAAGTGCATGCAGAGCCATTATGGTTTTGCAGAGCATCAACTGGGAACCACTGTCATAAAACACTCTTGGTTACATCAAATGTATTCTTCAGAATATTAGCTACACAGTGTAAACAACTGCACAACTGCCAAAGCTGTCGCAAGTGACTGACAGAAACTTGTATCTCACATAAACGGATGTGAGAACATGATTCCCCACATGGGTTTGAAGCCTCATCCTGGGGGAAAAGGGGGGGGGGGGGCAGATCCACTGCCTCCTAACAAACAAGTACTAGTGGACTAACTAGGGATATTTCTTCAAGTCAGAGTGCATCTGCAAGAGAGGCAAGGAACCAAAAGATTGCAAACAAATAAACTAGATCTGTAAAATGGATGTGCATGCAAAACTCAATTTCTGGAAAAAAGTCAAAAATCCACAAGTGGATGAACCAGAACTTTCCACGGGAGTTTACAGCTCGCTCGTGAACATTAAGAAGATGCAAAGGACATAATAACAGATAGTAGATCTGACTGCAGTTACCCTTTAGAACAGGTACATTCATACCAATTTATAACAAATGAACAATTACAATTTAAAAACTGATATATATATATATATTATATACCTTATCATCTTCAGCATTATCTTCCTGCTCCTGAGGTATTAACTCTGACTGCTTGCTGATCACATCAAGCTTTTTTCTCTTTCGGTGTTTGCCTGGCTTCTTCTGCCCTTTCTCCAGGTTACTGTGTCCTCCAGGGGGTCTCCCAATTTTTTTCTTCCGTTTTCCATAATAATAAGCTGAAAACAGAATATGTGTTTTAATAATACATTTACATAGCCTCAAAATCACCTGGCAGAAGGTGAAAACAGATTATGCCTTAAACTTCACAACCACAAAGAAATGACAAACAAAATGTTGGCACATATAAACAGAAAAGGTAGAAAAGAAATGTATGTCCAACTCTCCGATCCTGAAGCACACGGGAATAACCACATATTTGTACACACCAGTCAGCACTGAAAGTTTAATGTGCTCAATATATACTGCCAGTTGCCTTTACTTCACAGTTAATTTCCTGTTGCTTAACTGTAGCTGACAGCCCAGTTTAATTATTTGGGTAAATAGGGATTGAAACCTATGATGGTCAGCAGTCAAATGTGCTAGCCACTGCACTATCAAAGAATATAGAAATTAGTCTTTCATGGGGGGAAATACAAGGCAAGAGAGGCATGAGAAGCTACAGAAACAATGTCTGTGGAAAGCTTAAAAAAAAAAAAGCAACACCAGATTCATCAAAATATCAGATGGAGGGAGAGAAAAGTATAAAGCCATGATCACTATCTGCTCTAAACTAAGTACCTGAAGAAGACAAAGAAGAAGTAAGAAAAGAAAAAAGGGAGGAAGAGGGAGAAGAAGAAAGAGAAAGAGAAGGAAAAGAAGTAAATCAAACTGGTGTGCGGCATTATAATATAAAATAAACGATATTCAACAAAGAAAAACAAACAGAAACACATCTAAAAAAAAAAAAAAGTAAATACTTCAGCCACATTAAACATGGCGCTGGTTTAAAATGAAGAGCAATGGAATGTGTGGTTCCTGGCAAAAGCAGCAAGGCGTTAGCACAAAGATGGACAGCGGATATTGAAGGAGGCATAAGCGAAAAAAAAAAAAGGAGGCAGGTTAATAAGCAAGGGAAAAAGAGTCTTTCCAGCAGGTCATGCTGGAAAAGAACGTTCTGCAGGGGACCTTTTACATGCTAAATATAAACTGAAAACATTTGCCACACTTGTGATTTGAGTGCTAGCAAAATATGTTTAAACTATGAACCCACACTACATCACCATTAAATTTCAGATATAAAAAAGAATGTAAACAAGTATCTCCAATGCAAGTATACAAGGAAAAAGAATCTTTTCTGATCCCAACTGGGTAGTGGATCAAATGTTTAGCCTTTTGAGATGTGTGGGAATAAAATAACTGACTCTATATGAATGAATCCCTCAACCAAGAGTTTCTCTGGAATAAATGTTGGCTGTCAAGAATCACCCACACTTTTTACATGCCCTGGGTGTACAGTCTCTGAGGCTCCTGTCTGTCTATCTCATGTTATTCTACTTATGCCGCTATCTGCCCCTCAATGCCTGCCTTCAACATTTCCATTTAGCTTGGATTTTAAAGTAAAGTAAAAGTAAAGGCCTCTTAGCCACATCTTTAGGCATATTGGGAATACAGGGCTAGACCTATATTTTTTATAGACCAATGGGCACTTGGTGAGTGATGTGATCAGCATCATGCCGGCCGCTTTTACTTCCCAGGACTGCAGCTGGTATCCACTCAAGGCTGGGTTGACCTGGGAGTCAAGGTCATTTAAAAAAAAAAAGTTTGGCTCTATAAGAATGCGAACTCATGACCTTCCAATCCGCAGGGGTAGCATTTGGATTTTATAGAAGGTATTATTCTTTTTTAATTTAGTCAAAATATTTCACTTGTCTATTTTATTATGTTTTACAACTATCTTCCCATTCCATGTCTCTCCAAAAGCTCTGTATGTTTTTGTTTCCATGACACACAGCACATTTTTCTGCATATCAACATCTCCTTGGTCTGAATTCAACACTGATGTACAAAAGGAGTACAAGAATGTTAAAATCATGTCTTGATTCTGCTGGTTTGTGGTCACAAGCTTTGCCTTCATGGTATTAGGGAACTGTCAATATAATATTTAACATGCAAATCTCAAAAGCAGATGCTGAAGGCAAGCAACACAACCAAATGAGTGTTCCAAGCAAACATTTATGGGATGCCATAAAGCTAGATGTATGGTGGAGTGACATGTTCAGTAGTCTTCATTTCAATCATTTGGGTCAATGCCACACATGTCCCAGACCCCTAGCCAGGAATGTATTAACAGCTCTAATTACAGCTTTTACTTTCAATTGCAACCCAAAAAAAAAAGTTATTAAAAAATTTTTTTTCTTAAACTATTTATTATTACTGTTAACTCTTTAAGTAAAAAAAACCGCCACTTAGTTGACTTTAAGAAAATAGCGAAAAGAATGATTGCTGCATGCCCAAGCCACTTATGCAGAAACTGTAGCGTGTAAAAGCTACCACCTACTAGTAAGTAGTACAAGACTAGCTGTGCATGCATATTCTTAATCGTGAAGCGATGAAGAGGCAAATATCCTGTGATACCCTCCCCAATGTAACCATTACCTACTTGCGCTTACACATGTAAACGGATCACACCTTGCTAATGTCCTAGACATTTTATGACATCTGGGCACAGATTAACAGCATCCGTAAACACAAGCAATATATGTAGGCCATAAGACAATGACATAAAATAATCTGTCAATACTGAAGGAGTTAAACAGACGATGAATCTATTCCAAGATGATGGCACTAAGACAGAAAAACACTGAACCTACAAAGGAAAGCTATTAGTCTGTTTTATCAAGCCAGGGAAAATATGATGGGTATCACTATGTAACAGAATTTCAATTACAAGCTGTCTAGCTATTTATGTAACAACTGGATGGAATCCAGAACCTGTAAAATCAGCACAGAACCAGATGGCATCCAAGGTTAGCTACATGGCAGCCTTTTAAAAATATCCCTTCTGCCAGTGATAAAAATGTCTACACAATTCTTACTATTTGGATTATGGAGATGCAGCAACTTACATTTTTTACAAAGTTTTATTTCAAATTTCACTCAATACCCATTGCATGATGTTCACATACAATTTTATGAGAAATACTCTTATGACATAGTAACCTGCTATGATGATGCCAGTAAAATTGCGTATGACAAAAAGGAGGGGGGGGGGGAGGGAAAGGGGGAGGGAGAGCTGTGTTATATATATTAAGGACACCAGAAGCCGACTATGATGAGTGGTATATAAAATAATAACATAAAACCAGTAACAAACTGACTATATTTAGTCTTGGTAAGCCCACCACAATTTTCAGAACAAATGTCGTTGACAAAATAAGGACTCATGAGGTTTGGGCAACACTCCAGCTTGAGGCACACTCTCCGGCAGAACTCTTCTAACTGGCCAGCTGTGCAGCAGATCTCTACCCATGCTCGATAGCTCTTGCCCTTATACCTTGGAGGAATCAAATATAGAAGAAATGAAAATGAAATGAAACAATAATCTAAAAACTGTCATAAAATGTATATGCAGATCATATGGTTCATCTCTGGCCATGAACTTCTGCTTAAAACTGCCACAGACCTTCTTAGGAGGCTTCAACATGTTATTGTTTTTTTAAAGTTCACATTATAGATACTTTAACCCTTTCAGGCCCATGAATTTTTACAGACTTGGCCCACATTAATTTCCATTTACAAAAATTGCAAGAGGGGGTGGTGTACAAAAAAGACAATAGAGAATGTAACATACTTCTAATCCCTACAAAAGTACATATTTTTTTTAAAAAGAGAAATGAATGTACATTTTGTATCTGATGATAGCTGTATGTTTATACTGTACCAATAGAACGTTCTCTGTATCTGAATCATTAGAACTGCTGGATTCCCTAACAGCTGACTGCTCAGCAGCCGCTGGTGAAAATTCACTGTCCAAATCACTTTCCGAAAAATCTACTTTTATTATCATTAATGAACTATTGAAAATGAAGCTAGCAATGAATCGGATCAATCAAAGAGAGACTTTTATTCAAAGAAAAACGTTACAGTAACCTTCCCTAAATACTTTAAAAGTAGTTCCGACCATTAGAAATGAATACGGCGCTGTATGCGAAACAATATTTATGGAACTTATGATCAACGCAGACAGTGATGTTTGGGCAATTCAGAGCTTTTCAATCAACGAATACAGCGTTACTCGGGCCTTAAAGAGTTAAGGGGCACTGGAGTACATCATTTCACAGCTCACCAGCTGTAAACTCCAGCGGAAATTTCTGGGCGTTCGTCCACTTTTTAGTCTTGTTCCGATCTGGTTTATTTGTATTCAAACTGTTAGTTCCCTGCTTTTCAGGAAGATGCACTCTGACTTTGAAGGAAGTCTCCAGTTAGTCAACTATTAGGACATGCTTGTTGAGGAGGTAGTGGATATATTCTTGTGAGGTAGTGGATATATTATTGTGAGGTAGTGGATATATTATTGTGAGGTAGTGGATATATTCTTGTGAGGTAGTGGATATATTCTTGTTTTCCCCACAATGGGGACCTCAAACCCACTAAAGGAATTATCAATGAACTAGAAGAGTAACTATTTCAATGAGTTGCTTGGTGACTTTCTATCACCTGCTTGTTGGAGAAAGAGACATGCATTAAAAATACAACTTCTTTTGTTGTTTAATTTCCATAAATGTAACACTTCAACAGCACATCTGTTACCTTAATTACCCTTTCAGTGTTATGTGATTTGTCTATAGCATGATTCCAACTCGACAGCACCCTTCACATTATTACAAGAACAATTTACTTGTATACAATGACATTTTAACAAAAATTGCCATACTATCAATGACCTCAAGAGAGACATACTTTGCTTTCAACAACTGCTGGGTCATGCCGGGACCTGGCATACCATCCAGCTGCAGCTCTCTCAGGACCCGGCTGGACTTGTATGCTGTGTTGATCAGCAAGGTTAGAACCTCTTTCATCACCAAGGCAACTGGTCCTGGTCCCACACTGCGAGGCAGTTCTGACAGGCGCCCTTTGTTCAGGTATGGTCCAGAGAAGCAGCGATGGTTGAAATATATTTGGGGTCCGCCAAAAAGCTCTTTAAATGCAAGATAGGAAAACAAAAGTTAGTCAAGTACATTTTTTATGTTGATCTCATCTTATCTTGATCATCTGGTACCTTGTGGTGTCAAGGTGAAGTATCATTTACAGAAAAGTGCCAGTTTGTGCGCTTTGTAAATGTGGCTTTCCAGGGACTCAGTTATTACCTCTGTCCATCGTTTGCATGGTCGGCCTCTTCTTTGTTTCCCGTCTCGTCTGTACATCATTGCTTGCTGTGGTCCACGGTTCGCCAACATCCGGGCTATATGGCCAAACCATTTTACCTGTTGCCTTCTAATGAATACCAGAGCTGCCACTACCACCATTCTCCTTCAGTTTTCATCATTCCTGATCATATCTCTTATTGTTATACTGAGAGCCCTACATAGGAATCAAATTTCAGTTGGTATGTCTTTTCTCTAAAAAGTGAATAGCTCTTTCATCTCTGTAGCTCTATTGAGAATGTAAGGTAATGAAGTGTTTGTGAGTTTGCAATTTGCTCTTTTACCACCCTAGGTATCCATCTGATAAACTTTGATCATAATACTATCTTCTATTAACTTATGATCACAGGATACAATTAAGTTTGCTCACCATCCAAGAGATCACAGGTTCAAATACCCAGGAAGGGGCATTATTTAACTGATCTTGGTTCCCAGATCACCCCCCCCCCCCCCACCCAAGCTAGTTGCATATCCTTTACAGGATCTTGCAAAACCAACCTCAGCATTTGTGTGCGTGTGTGGCTGTTGTGGTTTTTCTAGGCACATTTTATGTTCAGCAGTTTGCTTCCAGGTCAATCCAGCCTAACAATAGGTTCCATGAAATGTCCTTTATTTTGGCAGAGAATGCAGCCAGGACGGAATTGAGGACATCTTTCAATGGCTGATGACTGGTCTATAACAAACTAGGAATAGCCCAATATTCCCATTGTGTTTTTTAAAATTAGAACTTTTGCCTTTATTTCGCTCATGGAGTACGGGTCCTAAATAATGAACTCATATCAATTCTTTGCTATTATGTTCGGCTCACCCAATGTTCTGCCCATCTTTTCATCTCAGTCTCCAGTTCTTTTGTCCTTAAATTGTATGTTTTTCTTGTGTATACTGGTCTATTATTTTGCCTTGTGGGTTTCAGAGCAAGGACATTCTAATAAGACTATTATCAGATGTTCTCAATATATGTCCTATCCAACACCAGTCTCTTTTCCTCATCTATTCATTCACTGGAATTTGTTTCATTCTCTCATAAACCTCCACATTAGTGATTTTGCCATGCTATTACATTGCTTCTATTCTGCGAGACACCAGCTAATGAAAGGACTGCCAGTGACAATATGTTCCTTTTTTTTGATAAGCAACAGACAAACAGCATTGGCAAGGTTAACATTTTGAAATTAAAGCTAAGAAATAGTCTAGACAAATTAACAAATATTTAAAAAAGCACAGGGGGACATTTATTAAGTATACAGACACATATTACACGTGTTGCTTTCAGCACATACAAATTGAAACATACTTCTTCATAAAACATTGACGTACCTTTTCCACTGTTGCTGGGATTCTGTGACTTTTCCCTTTGATTATCGGCCATTCTGAATTTAAAAAAAAAAGCCATAAGAAAACAGCGGCAGAACAAAAAAAAAAAACAGCAATAATTCAGCACATAAAACTCCTTTTGATCTTGATTCCTTAGGCTTTTACTGTAAAATATAAACTTCATAGCAGTTTATATTCTGAAGAAGTGTCAATGTTACATATAAAAAGATATCAAACTAAATGAAAAGTAAAACTAATCTGTTTCACATTGTAACAATCACAAACAACAAGTGAATTTTGCAGCTGGAAAGACTTCATTAGCACATAACAAGAACAGACAATAACACAATTACAAACAAGAGCCATTAACTACTTGCTAATAAGGCAATCTGAGGCAGAAAAAAACAATTGTATACTATTTAATTTATGATGCAGGAATTCAGTGTAACACAAAATTCTAAAAGGCAACCTCTTATTATTGCAAGAGTATGTTTATAAAAATCATCATCATGTGGCATATATGTGGCCAAGCTGGTCAAAGTTCATTATCTCATATGATCATCAAAATCACAGATCAGTTCAGTGTTCTTGTTTCATCCAAACCCTGTTCTTTTTCCTTTGTCACCAAGTTTGCCAAGTCCCCCCCCCCCCCCCCCCCCCCCCCCCCCTCCTACACATCCAGTTTTTGTGTGTGGCTATCTACATTTATTTTCTCTATAAAGAGACCATTATTTCATCATCCTTTTCTTCTTTTTAGTGTTCATTAGTGGTGAATTCTAGTGGAAAGTTCTGGTTGTTCATCCATTTCTGTACTAACTCCTTGGTCTAAATAAGGTATTTTGCATGTACTTCCATTTCACAGATACGGCTTATTTATATGCAGACTACTGGATCCTCGCCTCTCAAGCAGATGCACTCCGTGTTGAAAGAAAATTTTATAACATACTTGTTAGAAGGGAAGCAAGTGTATTTGCCCCCCCCCCCCCTTTCCCCCCTTCCTCGCACCCTTTCCACCACCACCACCACAAGAAATCACATTTCCAATGTGGAAAAACAATGCCACACAAGTCTGAAATTACTTTTGAACGGCAAGGGGCTGGCTACTCACTCTGGCTGTACCACTGCTATCCGTCTCCGACCTGCACTGCCTCCCCCCATTCTGCATGGAGGCAGCAACTGATAACCCACACTAACGCACCATCCTACAGGGAAGAGATTCAGTGAGTTGACACTCTCAACATGGCTGTCCATCATTCGCTTGCTGCTGTCTAAGTGAATCCACATGAGATGTTCCACAATGTTTGTGATGGTTGCTGCACAAATCTGAGTTGGCTGACTGGGTTTTACTGCTTCTAGTTTCATACCACACTCAAATTCATGTTCTGGAACACCCTATGGAATAGAAGAGAAAAACCATACAACAGAGGAAAGTTGCAAAAATATAACAGCAAATTTATTTATTATTTACACGTCCATGGAAAAGCTGGAGGGGAAAAGAAAGGGAAACAGAGACAGAAGGTGCTGGACAATTTGACAACATAGCATGGAAGATCGTCTGTGTTAGAACTCACAGAAAGTACGTGGGACAGAAGGTTGTGGGTAAACATTACTACACAACATGGACTATCATAAGATGATGTTCATGAAAAAAACCCACTCATCTAAGTATTACAGAAGCTGTTAAAAGAAAGTATGTTTTGATATGAGTTTGATCTTCTTTTACCAGGTCTGATAATAACTACAACTAATGAGCGGAAGCTCGTAACAGCAGAGATGAGATGTCTTCGGAGAGCTACGAGTAAGACAAGAAGAGATAAAATCAGGAATGAAGAAAATAGAAGAAGACTAGGACTGAAACCAGACATACAATTCATTTAGGAACAACAAATGAGATGGTCTGGCCACCTGGCAAGAATGCCCTGGTACCAACTGCCACAGAGAGCCACGCTGAAGAAATATTATGAACACAGAGCAAGGGGAAGACCCCACAAGAAATGGAGCGACATCATCAGGAGCAACCTAACAGAGATGAACAACAACTTGCACAGTGCATTGGAAAAAGCGTACAAGCGATCCTTTTTCAGATTTGTCATCCTTTTCATGAGCATGACTATTTTAAAGCATACATCTGAGGAGATTCACTGGTGCTATGGGGTTTATGCTGTGTGTGATGCTCTTAGCTCTTGTGATGCCAACCACTCTGCAGAAATGAGAGGGGAAAGAGGAAGAGAGAGAGAAAGAGAGCCAGATGGGATAATACTAGCGATTTCGTTGTTATGGAATGTAAACAATTAAACCGGAAATGGATTTGCTTGGTAACGGAAGGGACTTCCTGTCCCTGAATTTTAAGCGTTTCCATACTAGTCACTATAAAAACCCGAGTTACTCAATACTGGCTGTTCAGAAACGAATCCGAACACGCGCGATACCTGTAGCAGATGTCAGACTGCTGAATAGCATGTGTTTTTAAAAAAGACGTTTACTCACTAAAAAGTATTTTGTAATTTGGATTAGGGCTAGTAAATTCTTTAATATCTTTTTTTTTAGGCTTTCCATAATCTCCATTGTGGTAATATTGAACTCTGCGTCCATTTTTACATACAGATGTAAAATTTCAGTTAGATATGTTCTTTAATAGTTTCAGAATTAAATTTTTTCTGCATCCAGTCTTGTAAAATTTAGTTGAATTAGTTAGGTTAAAACAAAATGGCGGACGGCGTGAACACAAAAGCGTGTCTGTTATATATTGACAATGCTTATAATAGGAGCAAATTAATGTTCAGATAATACAATTTTAAGTTGAAATAGTAATTTATCTTTGTATGTTTATTACTTTTTTTAAATTTTATTAGCTTAAAAAATAATAATGATCAGTTTTCTGACACACCTAATGGCTGAATAATTTCTTCAGATTTTTGCTTGGAAACTGAACACAGATTATTAATATTTTTTCTTTGAGGCTGTCCATCATCTCTATTGTGGTATCATTAAACTCTGCGTCCATTTTTACATACAGATGTAAAATTTCAGTTAGATATGTTCTTTAATAGTTTCAGAATTAAATTTTTTCTGCATCCAGTCTTGTAAAATTTAGTTGAATTAGTTAGGTTAAAACAAAATGGCGGACGGCGTGAATACAAGAGCGTGTCTGTTATATATTGACAATGCTTATAATAGGAGCAAAGTATTGTTCAGATAATGCAATTTTAAGTTGAAATAGTAATTTATCTTTGTAGTTTTATTACTTTTACTAAATTTAATTAGCTGAATATATTATTTTGATGATTTTCTGACACGCTAGAAAATGGCTAAATAATTTTTTCAGGTTTTTGCTTTGCAAATGAACAGACAGTGCACTCGCTAATCAAACAAATTAATGAAATTCACTGAATGCCATCGTGCTAATGTTGTATTTTTTTTAATCTACAACCTTTTTAACTTTTTCTAATGCATAAATTATAATTTAATATGAGTAATTGTTTTTTGTAGGTATTTTTTATCTATTGACCCTCACATGCAGAATTTCACGCAACATGCCTGGACTTCTTGATATTGCGTATAATTATAACAATCATAACTATTTTATATTTTATTAATTTTTTATATAAATAAAATAATAATATTACAAAAAATATTTCATTATAATATAATATTTAATATATGTATATAATTATTTATAATATTATTAGTCTTTTATTTAACATTGTTTCTGTTTAACTTGATTTTTAGATTCTGATCGAGCATTCACAATGACAGTGGCAAAAAGGACAGCAGCATATCTTAGATCACATCTGTCAGTCTTTGAGATCATATTTACTAGCCAGCAAAAAGATCACATGAGTCATAGATACGCTAATAAAGTAGAATGTACTTTCGACTCTTACCTTATGAAACGCTGCTCCGTGAAAACACAACATAAATCCAAAGTGAATCACAAAGGAACTTATTTAATAATTTTACCCCATGATAACATAGCACTGAATCACAAATCGGGTATGAGTGAATACTTTAGATTATTTTGAAAAAGTAAATAAAGTATTAAGCAGCGACTGGTTAAGAAGAAGGGGACTCTCTGGTGAAATGCACTCATTATCAATAAAATGAAAGAATAACTTGCGAAGACTGAAAAAAGGATTATGTTAAATCGGTAAGAAGGGTGCATATTTTCACTTCGTTATCAAACAATATGGGGGTCTCCGTAGCAAAGTGGTCAAGCCGTTAACCTCGCGCTTGGAAGGTTGCGGTGTGTCCATTTCACAACTACGTTGTTCGACTCAAAAATGACATTTTTTTGGGTTAGCGGGGACCTCTGAGGACTGTTGCTGGAGCTACGGTATTCAGGCTTCGTGCTAAGCTCTCGGCATGCGGCTAACCATTCACGGTTATGTGAAGAAAGACCAAGCCATATGAAACCAGTAACGATGCAATGACGTCAATCCGCTTGCTATCAAACATTTTTTAACAGTGGAGTAATAAAGCAAAGCCAATTTCGGTCAGATGTGCACACACACACACACAAAAGTGACAGTGCGAGAAAAAGCATTTTTCAACAAATAGGAAGAGATACATCATAACACAGAGAATCGTTACAAAAGTATGCATATTACAGTATACGTTTTGCAAGACTAACTGGATAATAATAATTCCTAAGGTATTTAATTAATAATACTGATAAATTGACCAATTTTTCTTTGTTAATTAGATTTGCATTACATCATATTTTTAAAAAGGCAACAACTTTAGTTAGAGCTTGCTGCCCTGAATGCAATGATATATGGTTGCTAAGGAGTTCAGCAAAAAACATAAGAGGTGTAGACATAAAGCATACAAATTTTGTCACTTTAGGTCCAGTTTTCACTTGGGAACAGGCCGCCATCTTGTTTCTGTTTTTTTCTATTAAAATTTTTGGGGCAACTTTCCGTCACTAAAACGTGAATATCTCCGCTTAGAACTGACATACAGACTTCACTGAGGTACCGTTGAACTCTGTTTTTAAACCTCTAAACAGCTATCGTGGTTTAAAAGCAAAAGGCCCAAAAAATAAAATTGGACTAAACACCCTAATAATACCTGAAGAAATGAAGTTGATCCCATTACTTTTAAATGATGTTTAGTAATACCATGTTACTGAACATTTTTTGTTCAGCTGAGATATAAATTACATACTACACTCTGCATTTATGATAATGATAATATTGTGTCATCAGCAATAATGAAGTTCATGTACTTCAATTCTTCTGATAATAAAAGGAACACATTTTAAACAACTAGAACATAAAAAAAGGCATTTATACAGTCAACAATAAAATTATGTATGGCATTAAAGCCTACAAAACTTTGCAGTAATATTTAAAAAATTAAAAATAAAGAAATAAAAACACAAAATATAAAGAAAAAACTTTAAATAAAGAAATACAAACACAAAATATAAAGAAAAAAAACTAATCTTACTAAATTGAAGAAATGGGCAGGTGCAGCTGTAGCCTTGCAGGATTTCAAGTAGTTGTCCCATCGAAACTCGCTCTCTGGCCAACCTGGCAATAACATTTCTACTATGACCTTTTATGCACATCAAAATAAACTTTATGAAACATACAAATTAAGACAAAGTATACTTTACATATTAGGCTCATATATTCTCCACAATAGACTTATGGACACAAACTGTTTAACAAGACTTTGTATTTGTAGTACATTTACCTTTATATGACTACAAACAACTAAGTAATGACCTCATTGTTAATTTTATCAACAACATCTATAAAAACTGAACTGCGCTATACAACATGATAAAAAGGTGAAGGCAGTTTTCTAAAGCAAATACTGCTACTGAGATGTGAAGCATTAGGCCTTCCTCGTTCTTTCTTTCCAGAAGATTTTCCGGTACCCACTGTTAAGAGGCTGAGTCAACCCAGAATACATTCTGCCACCTCTAGGCATTGAACCTAAACCATGTCTCGCAATTCAACTGCATAAATTCTTTCAGTTCCAAGCAACACTCAGTGTGTAAGTGACACCATCCCTTGATTTCCCTCTACAGCCTAATGTGATCTCTAAAGGTGAACATTCATTCAGAACAAACAAAAGAAATCTGGCTACTCCAATGTAATTACGACTGTTGTATATTGCCACTTGAAAAGTAATGCACGCGTGCTTTTTCATCATGGTTATTTCTTCACTCTGGCATGGTTAACAACCGTGTGCAATTACACTGGTTCACATCTCCTGACTTTCCTTTTTACCTTTTACTTAACTCTGGCATCTTCTGTGAAACCTTGTGGTTCTGAAAGAGTTAACTACTATCATGACATTACTAAAACTATTAACATTATATGACAAAGAAAAATAAAATGAGGATCTAGGAACATCTCAGTATATAGTTAGAAATGTTACCCAATGGAGTGGCCAGCTTGATTCCCCTAGTGGATGCCCAGTTAACAGGGAAGATTGTTGGTGTGTTCCGATGGCAGCAAAACTGAGCTTTCTTCTCCATGCTTGATCCTATCAGACTGTCAATTTCAATGATAAAATACTTGGAGTCAATCACCTCTGTAACAGTGGCTGGACAGATGCTATAGCCATTACTACCGTCCACTGCCTCAAGCTTCATGCCTACCTCAAATTTGTGCTGCTCTATCTCATGTTGGTCCTGGAAGCAAACAGAAAGTGGGCAAACATTATTTGTGAGAAATATTTTGTTTTTAAACACCATTATCAGTAAAGAGAATGCTATTCTCACTGAATACGCAGAAATACATAGTAAAAAAAATTTTTTTTTTTTAATATAACATTTCATAACAGCAATGAATGATGAAAGACAGGATATGTAACAGTATAGATGGAAACTAATTACTAGGAAAAAAATAAACAAACAAATAAAATACTGTTCAGCAACTATCCGCGGTTAATTATATTATATAGGAGTTATATAGGAAAATGGGTTGACAAAATTCTGGAAGACCTAGACTTCGCCGACGACATAGCACTCCTGAGTTCAGAACACACAGACGCCCAAGAAAAAATCAATCGACTCCAGAATTTCTCAGAACAAATTGGACTCCAAATTAACACCGCAAAAACAAAAATTCTAGACCTTACCAACAGTTCAGTTGATATCACGCTGAACAACAACAGCCTTGAAAAAGTCAACAGTTTCACTTATCTAGGGAGCAAGATGTCATCTACAGGAGATACCGCACCAGAAATATCATTTAGAATAGCACTGGCATCTAGTGCCTTCAATAAACTGTCTAACATCTGGAAATCAAAGACACTTAGCAAACACACAAAACTCAAGATCTTCAATTCTTGTGTGATTCCAGTACTAACCTATGGATGCGAGAGCTGGAAATCAACGAAAACTCTAGACACAGAATTAGACAGTTTTGAAAATAAATGCCTTAGAAGAATACTAAATTTCAAATGGTCAGATTTCCGAAACCAATACACAAATAAGGCAAGAATCCAGGCAAGAGTATGTGTCTAATTTTATACGAAAACGCCGCTGGAACTATGTCGGCCACGCCCTTAGAATGGATAAATCAAGACTTCCTTACCAAGCCCTCATTTGGACACCACAGGGGAAAAGATCTCGTGGAAGACCAAGGGAAACCCTACGTAGAACTATCATCAGGGAAGGCTCGCTCATGGGCCACTCAAACATCCAAGACCTACAACGGATTGCAACGGACCGCCGTGCATGGAGAGTCACGACCTCTGCCCTATGTGCCGCACTCGACACAAGAGGAAAGACTAACTAACTAATATAGGAAAACAAGTAAAACATACGTGATATATATCAGCAGGAAGATTTTGCTTTACTGCATCAGCCAGGCTGATATCAAGGATTTTCATCAACTCTTTTTCTGTCTTATTGGATTTCATCTTTACAACTGTGAAGGTTAAAAAAAAAACACATAGTATTACTATTTCAAGGAGAATAAGTGAAACAGGAATAGACTTTCTGCATATTTAATGTGTGCAGTCGTGGTAGTACGGTGGCTAGATACTTGTGTACCTAACCAGTGTTCAAATCTGCATCAAAGGAGATTTTTAAAACTGCTTAAAAAAAGGTAACTGGGGACATCCTGGGAAGTGAAGTTGTTGACATCATCACCTGGCGAGTACTGATGGGACTATCTCTATATGCCTGATGGGGTTATATGTGTGAAAAAAGACTTTTATTCACTTTACTGGAAAAGGGGGGGGGGGGGGGGGGAATCTGCCATAACTGCCTGCATATACCACAAGCAGGCAGGGAAGAATTTGAACCTGAGGATTTAGGGACACATGGCTACTGCAGTCCCCACCAGCTATGCAGATCAGGGTTTTATTTTTTCCCCTGCCGCCACCAAAAAATCCATAACCTGACTGAAGATTTGAACCTGGGTCTCCGGCTTTCTTTACTTACATACTTAATTACAAGCAAATTACTGAAGTAATTTTTTTTCTTCTCCATTTATTTAGTGTAAAACAAAACATTTAGTGTCAGCTCCACATTTATTGTGTGAGTTTGCCTTCATGAATAGAAAGTAAGTCTTTGTCCAATGACATATCTGCATTCTTGTTCCTCTGTGTTTACTTGATGTATGAATGAAATGATGTAAGAATGGAGGTAGACCTCGAAGGGCAGAATGTTAGACAGGCCTATGTGCCCAATTCTTAACCCTTTAAAAATAAAGTTTGTTCGTTCGTGTTTACATCCTACAAATTCCATTCAGACAATCTGCATATTGGTTAGCCCTTAAGGCAAGATGAAACCGCTTCCACCAAGTCTGTATATGGTGCTATGGCTCTAGGCTCACTTGCATTCTTGTTTCACTTCACCTTCACCTCTGGGGGTAGTTACATTTTTTTAAATTCACTGTGTCTCACACACACACACATACATACAGTCATAAAGTTTTTTTCCCAATTTACAGTTAACAAATTGACTTACAACCTTACCTGAAGGAGGTGAATAATTATACCCCGCCTGTTTACACCAGCCAATAGGATGAAGTCTTTCATGTAAGTAAAACAACCACAGATCACAACTAGCACCATCTATGCCTTCGTAGCGCAAACAAAGCCGGCCTCCAATGTTTTCCATGATCCTCACCAACCAAAGCTGATTAGGTTTTAGTTCATCTTGAATCTCCAGCCTCATCCCTTCTTTAATCTGATCAACTGGTGTTGCACCTGTTGACTGTATTCATAGCTACTGATATTATTCACAATCAACTGTACACAACATAAATTTAGATACAGTGAAAAACAACTGAGATTTTTTTTAGTCTATGCAGGAGTTCATTCTACTGTAACTCAATTAAAAGATGAAGTAATTACTATTTGGTTCAACTGTAAAATAATAGCATGTATTCAAGTGCAGCATGGTCTCATAACTGTAGACTCTGAAATATGAGGATTACAAACAGCAAGCATTTTAATTAAGTTATCACAATTCCCTGTGTGCATTCCAGGTGCCCATTGTGTGTGGGGGTGGGGGGGGGGGATGGGAAAGGGTGGAAGGAGATAGACCCACTGCCCACAACATGCACTTAATATTAGTGGACTAATTAGAGGTGTACTGTTTGAAGTCATCCGTCTGAGAAGTGAGGAACCAACAGTCTGCATACAGATAAGCCAGATATATAAAAATGGATGTGTATGCAAAACTCAACTTCTGAAACAAGGCTAAGTTCACAAGTTGACAAACAACAACAACAAGGGAAAGGAGGAGGAGGAGAAGAAAAAGAAGACGAAAAAGAAGAAAGACAT